TTTTGACCCGGTGGAAATCCTCATGGACCGTCACCCGTCCCCCCTGGAGAGAGGGACGGGTGGTGTGTGGGACTCGTCTCCCTGGCACTTGGGCGATAACAGCCCAAGGCCAGTAGTGCAACGGAGACGCCTACCGCACTAAAACCACCGGGAGTGGCCATCTCAGCGCGCTTTGGGGGGCCATCCGGGTACTTCAACGCAGATCTCCGGATGACCCCCGCGCCACGCTTATTCCGCGCTCTTCTTTGTCCCCCCTTTAGGAGGGGAGACCTAGGCCTCATAGTTCGGCCTTCTCCTCGTTATTTGTTATGCGGCAGGGGTGCCACCGGGCCCCTGCCGCGCCCCCTTGGTGTTGTGGGGGCGGGTGGGTCGCGGGTCTCCAGCCCGCGCCCACCCCCGAGTGCCCTGTAAACACAGGGCTCCCGCCTCCTCCTGCCCCTTTATGAGGCAATGGGGGGGAGGCGGGGGCGCAGGTAGCAGGCGACCCGACACCGCCCCCTTGGGGCGTAGTCGGACGTCCCACGAATCCCGCGCCCCCGCCTCCCCCCCAGGGCTCCTATTCTACGGCTAGCCGCACGCAGTCAGTCCACCGGGGGGGGGGGAGGCAGCCGTTCCTACTGTCAGCCGCCTCCCTCCCCAGAGACTGTTCTCTAATCCCGACCTTAGGTCAGGCTCCACTTTTTGAGGTGAGCGGGGATCCCTCTTCTCCCTCTTCTCCTTCCGATCCCCGCTCCCCCACCGCCTTGTTGTGCTGCGGGGGTTGTCTCCCCCCTTCGCACCCGCTCAGCCTCCTCCTTCTGTAGCATTACATGCTCGCAGAAGGAGGAGAAAGCCTCCCATTTCCTCCTGTCCCTAACTATCGCCGCAACGACCGCACGCAAGGACAGGTCCGGGCCTATCTCGTTGACAAGGACTCGGCGCTGTGCGTCCCACTCGGGACACACTTCTAGAGTGTGCTGCGCCGAGTCCTTGTCCGCGCCACAGTGGTGGCACCTCTCGCTCCTCTCCTTCCCTATCCGCCGCAGGTACTCACCGAAGCACCCGTGCCCGGTGAGCACCTGCGACGTCCTAAAAGAGGCCCGTGCCCACGGGCGCTCTATCCACTCGTTTAGACGCGGGAGGACGGCCTCTACGGTGCGCTTGCCCGGAGTCATTGGCTCCGAGAGTCGCGCTCGCCATTCCTCCCGCGTCTCCTTCTTTGCCTGGGCTCCGAGGAGCCTCCTCGCCTTCGCCGTGACCGGAACGCCTTGCCCCCGGAGTTCCCTGGTGCGCCGGTACACTTTTGCGTACTCGGCCGCCACCAGGTCAAGGGGCGGCATCCCGGCCAACAGCGTGGCCGCCGTGTGGGATACCGTACGGTACCCCCGTATGGCTCTAATCGCCATTCGCCTTTGA